GAAAAGCACTATACAGATTTAGTTAAATCTTAATAAAAATCCCAATGATATTCCTCATAGAAATAGAAAAAAGAGTCAAAATTCATCTGAAAAAATAAGAGACCAGAATAGCTAAAGCAATCCTTAGCAAGAAGAGTGAAGAATGTGGCCTCACATACATGTTCTTGAACTATACTACAGAGAAATAGTAACAAAACCAGCATGGTATTCACACCAAAATAGACTGGTAGACCAATGGTACAGAATAGAAGACACAGAGACTAACCCACATAAATACACATGTATTTGACAAAGGCGCCAAAAACATACATTGGAGAAAAGATAGCTTCTCCAACAAATGGTGCTAGGAAAACTGGAAATCCATAAGCAATAAAATGAAATAAAACCCCTGTCTCTCACCATGCACAAAACTCAACTCAAAGTGGATCAAAGACCTAGAAATTACAGAGACCCTGCCTCTAATAGAAGCAAAAGTAGGTCCAAACCTCCATCATGTCAGATGAGTCCTGAGTTCCTTAATAAGACTCATATAGCAAAAGAATTAAAATCAAGAATCAATAAATGGGATGAATTCAAACTCAAATCTCCTTCTCAGAAAAACAATCAGTGAAGTGAATAGGGAGCCTATATTTGGGTGCAAATTTTTACCCCTCACACATCAGGTAGAGCACTAATCTCTAGGGTATATAAAAAACTCAAAGAGCTAAACACCATAAAACAAACAAACAACAACAAAAAATCCCTAAATACCCCAATCAATACATAGGCTAAGGAACAGAATAGACACATCTCAGAAGAGAATATACAATCAATCAACAAATATATGAAAAATGTTCAACATCTCTAGCAATTAGAGCAATGCAAATCAAAACTACCGTAAGATTTTTCTCACTTTAGTCACTTACTAGGCAGCTATTAAAAACACGAACAAGAATAAGTGTTGGTGAAGATTTGGGAAAAAGGCACACTCAGACACTGCTTGTAGGATTGTTAATTGGAGCAGCCAATCTGGAAAGCAGTATGAAGATTCCTTGGAAAACTTGGGCTGGAACCACCATTTGACCCAGCTATCCCACTCCTTGGTCTATACCCAAAGGTCTTAAAAGCAGCATACTACAGGGACACAGCCACATCAATGTTTATAGCAGCACAATTCACAATAGCTAAACTGTGGAACCAGCCTAGATGCCCTTCAGTAGATGAATGGATAAAGAAAATGTGGAATAGATACACCATGGAGTATTACTCAGCAATAAAAGAGAATAAAATCATGGCATTTGCAGGTAAATGGATGGAGTTGGAGAATAAAATGCTAAGTTATCCAACTCCAAAAACAAATGCCAATGTTTCCTCTCGTATAAGGAGGTGGATTCATAGTGGGTTGGGACTGAGCATGGGAGGATGAGACAGACTCTAGGTAGGGAAAAGGGCTGGGAGGGAAGGAGGTGGGGATGGGGTAAAAACGATGGCGGGATGAGAAGGTCATCAGTACCCTAGTACATATATGAAGACAGAATGGCGCAAATATACTTCCTATACAACCAGAGATATGAAAAGTATGCTCCATATGTTTTATGTGAATTGTGATGCATTCGGCTGTTATATATAAAATTAGAATAGTAAATAGATAAATGAAAAAATTAAAAATGAAATACATCTGAAACTCCTGTAAAAATCTCAAGTTAACACAAAGAAATCTCCTAACAAGTGTCACAGAGTTTAGTGCTCCTATTTATTGCAAAGGGAATGTTGTTCATGGTGATTTTCGCTTAGTTTTTAAGCTCACAAGTATCATAAGTGATCCACAAACCATGCAGGCCTGGGCTTTCCTCTCATACCAAGGAACATAACTCAGGTGACTTCCATTTATGTAGAGGGTTTATTCTCTAATGTGTGCAGGGTGCATCTCTAGGTCATGAGTCCCTCAGGGCACAGAGGGGCCCAGTGACCAGGGGGCTGCCGACAAGGCCAACCCCGGCTGCTCTCTCCTCTGCAGAAAGGAAGCTGCTCTCACCTCCCCTCAGCCCCTGGCCACATTCATTGACATTCCTTTGTAACAGGGACACAAATACTCCTCCAGGTGGCAGGATGCAAACTGATGTGAGGACCATCCTGGGGTGCAGATGAGTTACACAGAGGCCCCATAGGAATGGCATGAAAGATTTGGATTTTTTGATATTTTTAATGCATTATAGTTAAACTAAAAAGTGTGTCTCCTGTGACACAACCACACCTGGTGGAATGTCATTGGCTCCTTTGTAGTCCCCCTGCTCCCACTTTGTTGAGAGCCACAGCCAAAGGGGCCCCAGCAAACTTCCAGCTGCCAGCAAACTTCCAGATGCCGGCTGATGATTGGCTCACAGCGGCCCCAGCAACATCTAGCTGATTGGCTCCTCCACGGAGCTGCTCATTGGGGGACTTCTTTGGCTCCGCCCATGCAACCCAGCCAATCAGCCTCAAGAGCAGGAGGATTGTGGGAGGTGGTGGGGCTTGTGTGGGGGTGAGAGGCTTGTGGAAGCCGGTCTTGGCAGTTGGGCTCTGAGGGTTTTTCCCTGAGGAGCTGTTTTGTTTGGCGTTTGTAGTTCTAAAAATAAAGTTAGCTTCTTTTGACAAGTGGCTCCTGAATTGTGCCCAGCCAGACTGCAGCACCACCTCTCATTCCCTCCTCTCCCCTGTTCCCATTCCTCTTCTATATTTGTGTTCCTTGTATTTATTTATTGCTGTTTCAATCATGCTTCATAGATAGACACAAAGTGAGATGCATTCTGAGACATTCACATGGGCTCTTAGCTTAATTACCCCAAGTTCATTCAGAGTTCCTCTCTTGTTCCATTTCTACAACTTCCCCAAATTCTTTCTCTGCTCCACGAACATGTTTTCAATTTTTGGGGGGCTGCACATTCTGTTCCCCCTAATATTGCTCCAGTGTCAACCTATGAAAGGAAACGTTCAAGCCCTCACGTAGCCTGACCTTCCCTAGTTCCATCCATTTCCTAGACAATGTGATATTTTCACTCTTCTTCACGACTGAGTAGAGCACCACTCTGTTGGTACATCATATTTTCTTGATCTATTGATCTGGTGGTGATCACCTGGGCTGGTTCCAGAACTTGGCCCTTGTGAATTGTGCTGCTACAAATATCCATGCACTTGTATCATTATAGTCTGCTAATTTTAGTTTTCTTTGAATATAAATACCATATTGTGGTGTAGCTGACTCATATGATGGTTCCAATTACAATTTTTAAGAAATGCACAAACTGCTTACCAACTTGGTTGAACTAATGTGCCATCCCACCCCCAAGGGCATGAATTCACCTGTTTTTTCACATCTTTCAGAAAATCTTCTATTATTTGTATTCTAATGAATGCCATTTTTTAACAGTGAGTTGAGATCTCACTGTAATTTTGATTTGCATTTCTCTGATGGCACATTTGATTTTTTGAGAGTGGTACTGTGGGTGTGTCTAGCCATTGGGTTCAAGTTTTTGGTCAATGTACAAGTAATAAAATAACCACTTATAGCAATGTCCTTGAACTACCAATGTGCACAGGTGAAGAAAAGTGGCTCCTGTCCTTCCCAGGTGACAGGTTGAGACTTGCTTTGAAGGAAGAGTCCCCAGTGCTGGTCCTCAAGTACCACATCCCTGTGTAAAGCAGGCATTGAATATGAGGGGAAGTGACACTCTGTGTCCCAGAAGTGGGCACCAATCTATTGGTGCTGATTCACTTTCTTATTATGAAAACTTCTTGTAGAATAATTAAGCTCCAATTAAATCTGAGATGAGGTCTGAGCCTCACAAACTTAGTAATTGTGGAGGGAGAGGGAGAGCCACGCTTCAGGGACTGGTGTCCACAGAGGCTAGCTTCTCCCTGACAGGTGTCAGCTCTGAACACTGGAGCCTCTGTGGTAGTTAATTGCTGGAAAAACTTCACAAACCCAGAAGGTACAAATGTTGACCTTGAAAGCTGCATCTTGTCTAAAAGACAGCCCAGAGCTTGTCTGCAGCACAGCCACCCAGGTGAGTGGACCCTAGGATCTGACTTGCTCACAGGCCCAGGGGACATTCCCTCAGCAGTCAAGATCTTACTCTGTGACTGAGCAAGGGGGTGGCTGCCAGGGTCTGAGCCTTAGGACCTTCCCTCTTCTTCTGGTATTTAAAGGTATGACCTTGGCCAGGAAGATGAAGGGGTCTTTTACAGCATGTGTCCCTCAGCTATGGTGGGGCCACTGTGACCCTGTGTGCAAGATCTGATTCAGCAGAGAGCTCCGTGGTGGGTCCTGAGGATAGAAACTTAGAAGCTTTTTCTGCTTTTAGGAAAGTTCAGTTTCTTCAAACTCCATTTTGTCCTGCTATGACTCTGTCTGCATGCTTAGCTTATATAATATTTTTGCTCCTATTTTTTTGGAATATTATTTGATTTCCAAGATACAAATTTCCCCTTGCATTATATATTTATGTTCCTAAGTGCATTTGTGTTTAATGAGAAAGAATTCTGTCTGCAACTAACCTAAAACTGTCTGTCCTCACATGTAGCATTAGACCATACATGAGTGTCAAATTCATTCCTTATATGTCTGCTTGGCAAAGTGCCTATTGAAACAATTAACATTCAAAATCTTAGTGTCTCCTATCCAATATGATTTCATTATTTTGCTTCATATTAAACTTTCACAAAATTTATTTAAGTTTAGTTTAATACCATGAAGCAAGGAACACTTCTCATATTTATCTTGGCAAATTTTCCCCAGGATGGATACATGTACCTGCCACCTGTTGGGTTTTATTCCCAGCTGGGAGTCATACAAGTCTTTCAATGCAAGACCTTCTTTTAGAGCCGTTCACTGTATAATTGTAAATCCAATCTGGGATAATGCCACTTTCTCTTCTGACATTCTTCTTTTCATTCAGACAGAGTGAAAGAGAAGTGAGTTGTGTAATTCAGAAATGCCTCCCAAATTTGATACAGAGCTCTGAAGTTTGGGTAGGTGGGAAGGTATGAAGTAAGAAATGATTTTGCATCTTGTCAAGGGGATAATCTTCATGTTTCTAATAGGACTTGGAGTTGTGGGGAACATCTTGGTTCTTGTGAACTATATGGGCGTGTTTAGAAGCACTATGAAATCTATACACCTCATTCTCATTCATTTGGCTTTTACAAATATGGTAACACTTTTTTCAAAAGTAATGCCAAGGACAATTACCAGTTTGGGGTTGAGACGCCTCGTAGGTGATACAGCCTGTAAGATCATAGTTTATCTTGGTAGGGTGGCCCGGGGCCTGTCCATCTGCACCACCAGTCTCCTCACAGTGGTCCAGGCCATCACCATCAGTCCCAGAGCCTCCAGGTGGAGGAGGCTGCAGCCCAGGTCTGCATGGCACCTGCTTCCCTTGTTGCTCTTCCTTTGGATACTCAATTCCTTGATAAGCATGAATTTAACATTTTACTCCAAAAATATCAGCAGCATGAACACATCACAATTTACTAGTGGTTACAACTATTGTTATTTACAACCACAAACCGGGATAATTAGATGGATTTTTATTCTTCTCATGGTCTTTCGAGATGCTGTGTTCCAGGGTGTCATGGGCGGGGCCAGTGGCTACATGGTCTTCCTCCTCCACAAGCACCACCAGCACGTGCTCCACCTTCAGACCTCCAAGCTCCTCTACAGAACTCCCCCTGAGGTGAAGGCTGCGAAGAGTGTCCTCCTTCTGATGCTCTGCTTTCTCTTCTTCTATTGGGCAGATTGCTTTATGACTTTATATGTCACTTTCTCCTTAGAGAAGCGTTTCCTAGAAGTAAGTGCTCTAGAACTTGTGAACCTTGGCTACGCCGTCCTCAGCCCATTTGTGCTGATGCACAGGGATGGACACCTGGCTGAGTGTTGTCGTGCTCAGTGAGAAGGAAAGACTTTGAGAAAATGTCTATTTCATTAATCTTTTTGGTAAATAAGTTTTAAATAATTCTTAGATTTCTGTTGCTGTATGTGAGGGAAAAATCGAGTTAGGGTAGATGATAACACATAGAGGCACATTTCCAAACCACAAAGCTGGTGACAGTCCTATGACAGATTTCACAGGAAGCTGGTTACGGGTGCTTCTTCTACATATCTAAGGCCCTCAAGATATTTGCAGGTTTCATTTCCCTTGTAAACCTCAAGTCTATTGACATGTATTAAGATTAAGGTATATTTATTTATGATTAATAGAATACATTTTGAGGTTCATAGTATTTAAAAATAGAATTGAATGATATTAGAATGGAATGATAATAGAATGTATTATGTACATTATGAAATGTGAAAAAATAGAGACTTATAGTTGTCTCATTGATAGAATAATACATGAATACATAATGAAAATAATTTAGTTTTCTTTTGTGTTTTCTGATTTCTGACTCACAATTTGAATGCATTTTTCTCCAATATATGAGGGGTTGGTATTGATCACAAATCATGGCTTGTTTCAAGAGGGTACTAGTTGCCTCTGTGATACTTGATATCGTCCTTCTGTCTTCAGTTATTCACAACACATACTGATGGGAAATGTAGTGAACTTAATCTTCCTGTCTCTGATATGAGTCAAAACACATATTCCTGTAGAATGCACAGATCTAGCCATCAAGTATTTGATTGAGCCTTTTGAAATATTATTGATGCTGTTGATGTGTGATCGTCTACCCTCTAGGACTTCAGAGTTGGCCTAGGGGCCCTTCCTTCATAGCTATGTGTCCTCTTTGTCTTTCTTATGACCATGTTTATTTGGGGATGTTTTAAGTCTCTAGGAAGAAATGGTGAAGGCCTTTTCTTGTGGTTTGTTTATTCCACAATAACACAGATTTAAAATGATTTATTGTTATTATGTCATACTCCATAATTAGAGTTTATTTGCTTCATGTGTGTCTTTGAAGGCAAAGGTTTTACGAGTGCCTTAGATTCACAGTTCTCCTGTGATAGCTGTCTCCCAAAATGGAGCCTGGAGAACAAGACAGAGTGAGCCCTCCCCAGACCCATCACTGGCGTGGACTCCAGAGCAGGGAGTACAAATCCCAGAAGTGCAGATAGGATTGAATGACGAGTAAATGTAGAAACATGAGGATGAGGTGACCAAGCACCAACAACAGACAATACCTAGGTGAAAAAGAAAATGGTTCCTGACTTTTGGACACAATGTATCAAGTTTTGCCTGGAATTTATATTCCTTATGTAAGTATGATTTTCTTTACTCTAAAATGTGGGAATTGAGTGGAGAAAATAAAAGTGCATCAGAAACCATAATTGGAAAATAATTGAAACTAATGAAGCACATGATTACATTGTCACACACCTGTCAAGTGGGAGATAAAAGAGAGAAATGGGAACACACTGGCCATTGGAACTCTCTGGCATGACTAGTAGCACATCACTTTTCTTTGATTGCACAAATACCTGTGTGTCTTTTAAAGCAGCAAAATATTAATAGTAATTTGAACTCTGCCTGAGTTGTGCCTGAGAATGTTTACACAATGGTTATAGATGAGATGACTGAGTATTTCCCTAAGTTTGTGAGATAAAACACCACATTCAGAAATTGAGAGAAATTATTACACAAATTGATACATCAATGACTTTACAAACCTATAGTTGCTAAAAATTCAAACAAAGAAATATCTTGAAAGTAACCATAGAAACACATGAAGTAAAAGTCATCAATCATTCCTAACTGACAGTGGATATCATACAAGACACCTTGAGTCCCAGAAAACTCCATTGATCACAAGCCTATTAAGTCCCTTCTCTTATTGGTGGATTCAAGAACATTTTGGTTTCCATCAATTATCGTCAGTTCATGCCCAGTGTTAATTATTGCTGAAATATGTGATGGTTCCCTCCTTGCCGTGACCAGTCATTCTATTAGGTGAACATCTGTCTCACTGGGGAAGAGTAGGAGGAAGGGGTCAGTGTGCTCTGGCAGTGCAGCAAGGTCCCTCATGGGCAGCTCCCTCCCCCTCCACACAGCAGCTCTGTGTCTGCACACTGGCTCCAGGATGGGAGTTAATGGAGGAGCCATGAAACCTGTTCTAGAGATTTGAGTCAGATTTACCCTCAGAACAGATGGGGTTTCTCTCCTTCTAAAATCCAGAAATGATTAGGCAGAACTGTCATATGTTTTATTTCTGCACACCTGTTTATCAATTGATCAATGCCAAATATCTCTCTGAGTCCCACAGTTCTGATTATTTTCCATTATGATAAACATGGCCACTGTTCCTTAGTGAATCAGTGACACCATATAGCACATGTGCCCTTGGAATCTGATGGTCCCCCTTGTGTTAAGGTATTATAGTTCAATGTCAGTACTTCCTAATTTGATGTTGAATTCATTGCTAAGAACCCACAAAGTTCAACTAGGATACTGAGCTATCCTCATGAATTTCTTCAGCAAATTTTGTTGGTAAAAGTAGATAACCACCTGCAAAATATGATATTGGGTCCTAATCTGAAATCACACAAAACTGTACTCAAAGTTGAGCAAAGATTCAGACATATAATTGAAAATTTAGGACTCCTCAAAAGCAATATAGTGAAACACTCCTTGACTTTGGTGACGTCAGTGAGTTTTTGGATATGATTTCCAAATCAGAAAAAAATAGAGCAATTACCAAGTGGGTCTATGTCAAACTAAAGACATTCTTCACACAAAGGAGATCCTCACCACATTGAAAAGCCAGCAATGGGATAAGAGATGCATTTAAAAATGTTGTGAGTAGTAAAGTTTTACTTTCTAAACTATGTGAGTCACTCACATTGGTGTATAGACAAAGTGCCCAAGACTAAACAGGTTATAAATGGGCAAGGTCTTGAAAAATGTTTTCCCAAACAAGATATGCAAATGTCCACACCATATGAGCAGGTGTTCATCATCATTGACCACTAGGACACTGCAAATCGCATTCAGGAGACACAACCTCACACCTGTTAGGTTGGTTCTTAACTAGGAGAGAAGAAATAATAAGTGTTAGAAAGTGCCTGGGGGGGAGGAAACAATTTTGTATACATAAAAGTGACTCTGAATATTATATGTGCTCTGTGGTTGAGATCAATGTTCCTTTTCAAAAAGAATGTAATCAGAGGCATGACATGACTTCAAAACTTAGATACACTAAGAAGCTATAGGAACCTAAAAAGCCTGGTGTTGGAACCTGCACAGCCTTTAATTTAGGTAACTGGATCAGGTGATTAGGGTATGGAGAAAAGACAAACACACAAATAGGGGAAAAGCTGGTGTTCCTGCTTCACCAAATCCCTGGTAGGTAGATAGTGACACAGAACAAGCTCAGCATTTGTATTATATGAGGATAATCATAAAAAGGTTTTTGTTGGAAAATTTTTTCAAAACAAGCAAAACTAAGTTCATAGGTATGAGCAGCCCAATTATGATTATCAGCTTGTGCCCATAACTTTCTACCCACTGGGCATCTGGGGTCTGAACTTCAAAGTCAAGAACTGAACAACTGTGTGGCAGGCACAGAGCCTCCTATTGAACAGAGCATCACCATAGCAACCTCCTAAATCAGCACCTGCACATGGAAGTTCCGAGGAGAGGTGTGGCCTCAGTTGCAGAACAGCTCAAGGGCCCTAATTCACTTCCTGCTTCACACACCATGGCTTGGCATAAAAGCAGACACTTGTACTAATGGAAAAGAATAGATAGCCTAGAAGTAGCTCATGCATCTAGATCTAATTGATTTTTAACAAGGTGCTCTGGAGGTGCACCAGAGAAAGAAGAGACTTCTCAATGAAGTCTTCTTGGAAAAACTGCATATCCATCCACATGGAGAAGAATGTCACTAGATTCTTGTGCCTGACAAGCTACAAACTCTGTCAAAATGGATTAAAGACTTAAATATAAGACCTGAACCAACAAAAGTAGTAGAAGAAAACAAGAGAAAGACTTAGGACATTATAATAGGCAAGAATTTTTGGACACGTCAACAAAATGACAGAAACCACAGCAAATTAGACAAATGGGATTCTGTTGAACTAAAAATAGATGTTCACGGGAAAATAAAAGAATAAGCCAGAGGGGAGAGACTAACTGCCTATTAGCTGGACCTATTTGGAAAGTCGAAGTCTCATAGTGCATTTTTATTCAGGATATATCAAAGAGACTGAAACACCCAATAGCAAAGCTGTTGGTGTAGCTCAGTGGGACACAATTCATCAGTACCAGCAATGCCTTGTAGTGGACACCATGATATGCAATCAACATGCAAAACAAAAATCCACAACAAAACACACAAAGTCAAGAACAACAACAAGAGACCCTGATTAAATAGGGACATTAGCCTATGAACATGTTTTTCAGCAGACAACTTACAAATGTTCAACCTCATTAATGTTCAGCAGAGGAGCCGGTGGGCCAAGCGGCGTGGCCCGGGCTCGGCCAGGTAAGAACCCGGGCATCGAGGGGAAGGTGCGGCCTGCAGCCCGCAGGGTCACGCAGCGGGCACCTGGGTGTTCAGGGTGGAGAAGTGACACTCCAGGTGCTGCTTGGCCTCCATCTCCCCGTCCAGCTGGTCTTGCAGGCCGCTCCTCTCGTCCTCCTGCCGGCACAGGTTGGTGGACACGCTGGACGTCTGCGGGGTTTCCTCCTGAAGCAGCCCCTACGGAAAGCACACACGGAGGTCCGGTGCCGTGGGGCGCTGACCTGGGTGTCCTGGAGCTGGGATCCGAGGGATGCCACGTCCTTGGCTAGTGTGATGGCCTTGCCCTCATGGAGCATGCCCGTGACACTCTCCACTTCATTCTGAGGGTGCTGGACCCTGGTTAGTGGAAACCTCTAGAACAGGATCCTCCTTGATCCAGAGGAGCCCCTTTTCCTCACACCACATCATGCACCCTCATGAGATGTGACTCGGA